CATATTCCAATTTGATTAAAAGCATGCCAAGAAGGCTTGAGGCATGTATTTCGAATAATGGATGGCCAACTCAGAGATCGGCGAAATTGATTTTAATTGCGGTTACGTTTTGTTTAATAATTCATTGATCAAAAAAGCTAAACACTTCAAAATTCTCATGCAGATTCACGAAAAGCCAAGCTACAAAATGATATAAAATGTTGTATAATAGTTATACTGGATGTTGCATAAACTTGAAAAAACTCCCATCGGATACTTTAGTCCAGGGAGTGTATATTCTTTTGGTATCAGCAAAGCACCTTTTTGAGATAGGCAGTTCGATGGAGATTTAGTATGCGGTATTTTGGGTGTGGACTATGACCACCAATGCCTGATTCAGCACCAGAAGAATACAAGAAACGTACCGAACAGTGTTGTGATGCTGATCCTGATAAGCGTCTAAATGTAAATAAACTTTAGGAAAATATTAATAACGTCACTAGAAAGTTTTACAACCATAATTCTGACGACGATATACGGAATATTATCTATTATAATGATGTAAGACCCTTGTCACATTTGAGAAAGAGAGTAAATATTCGAGTAAACTTTACTTACAGGAAATTTGCCTAAAACGAGAAACAGCTAAAATTTTCCTCCGCCAAGTTCTAGGATTAAGGGGTGGGTGTCATGAAGACAAGAAAAGATGTGCAATATAACCTTATAATTTAGTGGCTCAAAATTTTGAATAACCTTGTTTATTGTGGGGTAATTCGATAGTTAATTACAATGTTCTACTTATCATATACCCCATGACTAGTAGTCAATACACATCGAATCAATAAAACATTTTGATGGGTTTTGTTTGTCTAGATAAAATTAGAATTGATACACAATGTACGTTATGCGGAGCCGTGGTAGTAGTTTTTTTTAGGAAATTAACGACGGGTGTATAGGTGACCATACGCAAGTTAACTGCATGGGAAATTGAAGTTTTGCGATTAATTTTACTGGTACTAAATTGTTTATATGCTAGTGGCGCATCAGAGTTTATTGTAAAAGAATTAAAGATGAAGGAATTCAATCATAACGGAAATGTTTAGTGATGAACAGAATATTGCCTAATATTGGTTGCAATCATTCTATTACAATCATTCAAAGTTACGTCATACTGATTCAGAATGTAAGTTATTATTATTGTATTTATAACAGTTAGTACATAATTGTAAAAAGTACAAATAGCGCAATCGGGCTCGCTCGCCAAATAAGACCTTGAAGTTAACCAATTGTCATTGTAACACCATGCCACATGATTTGAATAAAAGAGTGATAGCGTTAAGTCATTGCGCAGATATAAAAATTTCCCTTACATTGTATCACGTGATATACTTATATCTGTGTCTTATTACAAAGCAGCATAGTTGGATTGCATTTTTATGTGCATAGAATTGCAATTTGTGAAATTTACAATGTTGGACGTTTTGCGACGTCTGTAGCAAGTCGCATTTCCGAGCTTCGACGGAGTACAAAGAGTTAGCGGCCTTTAATAAAGATATTGGTCATTTGACTTTAACTGAATAAATAAAACGAATAAGAAGTTGCAAAAAAGCCGTTTTGTAGATTTTACAATAAATTTGTCATTCAAGATTAACCTATTTATAAGCACTTTACAACTTCAACGAACTGAATATATTGAGTTTCTATAGAGAGAATTACGATCTAATTATTGTTCGGCTAGACAATCGTATCACTTATTTGACTACACAGATCACGCTGATATCATATTGCTTGCTATCGATATCATCACTATCATAGAGATCAGTTTATCGGGCTTATTAGCCAGTGAAAATATTTTACTGCTTGTCATCGATATCATCACTATCATAGAAATCAGTTTAATTGCGTGGCTTATCGGAATTGCTAACCGGTGAAAAATATCTTACTCGCGTGCTCTGAAATGTCTTCTGTACGTCAATCACGATATAATGTAATGGTATGTTACATTAGGCAATATAATGATATTATTTATGCTTTACTATTGGTTGACAGTCGCAAACTCTCACGCTCCTTATTGCATAGATAGCGACATTTATACTTATAAGGTTGTGTACGACAGCAATTAATAATATCAAAGTAGTACCAATATATGTTATCTTCCCCTAACACGCGAGCACGCGTCTATTTATACATACATATATATATATATATGCCCAGACGCTTCTCTCCATTGTTAAAGCGCAAATACAATGTTATCGGAAAGTCAATATACAACGCAGCAAACCTTTGCCGCCGTTATTACGCACATACGACACTTTGCTACAACTCATAAACAAGTCTTTGAAACGACGATACGGTTTATCAACCAAGTAATCGATACTCATAGAAACACACATATATCCAAACAGCGTAACAAACCTTTGCCGCCACATATTGCGTACATACGACGCACTTGTTTTTCTTTTTAATTTAAAGACGAGTTCCGTAGGCAGCTTAAAGATGAGGTAAGAATTCTTACTGGGTATCTGTTGAGTGGTTTGTATCTTAAGTACGCTGCCACTAGGTGTAAAAATCGGATTATTTGAAAGCGCATCGGGCCACACCTGTAGATTATTTATCTTTCGGGTTATAACTTAGTATGTGTATCTGAAGGTACGCTGCCACTAAGTGTAAATCGGAGGTTTAAAAGCACATAAGGTGTAAATTAATCAAAACCTCGTTACCGAAAAAAAAGCTGTGTTTATTCTGGCTTTGTGGTGAATAGGATAGACTCAAAATACTTGTGTTCGGGGGCCTGATTGTTCTAAATAATCTACTTATTGTGAACGTTCGTAATCCGTTCCAAAACGCCGACTGTAGCTTATCACGCTCGGGCTTGTGGTGAATAGAATACATGGACCACAGAATTGAACGCGCATTGTGGCCACAGCATGCAAAGTTTACCCGTCAGAACCCCGGCCCTGACTTCGGTGGACGCGTTTGTTGTGAACGTTCTTCAATGGTCCTTGACTATGATGATATAGTTACTAATTTATTCTTTTTGTTGTTATTAGTACCGAACGGGCCGAGCCGATACTTCTTGAACCAAGATTTGCAAGCAACGTGAGTCGCGCTAGACGTCATCAGCTTGTGTTCTTTCCTAGATTTTGCGCAGCTCCAACGGTATCACAAATATTCGGCAGTAACGACGTTACAACATATGTTCTGCTTACGCTAATAAAGATATTTAAGCCTTACGGCTTGGGCTGTTGTTGAAATTATTTTCTTTAAAATGACATTATCAGTAGTTACATTATATACAGCAACTCATATATTCATGCATGGCTTTTATGATACATTCTGATGGGCATTTATCCGAACATAAAAAAAGCGCAATAATAAATAAAAAATTTTACTAGAAATTTGGTATTTAAGTGGATGAAAATGATGTCATTTGTGTGCATAAGCCAAAAATAATCATTGATATTAAAACTATTTTGTTCACATCAAGAGATAACACGAGACATCACAATTTAGTTAGGATATTTTTATAATTATGAGATATATAACGCAAGGGAAACGTTTCTTTTCGAAAGGAAATAATCAGGAAGATAAGAGTTGCTATTATCGCTATTGATTATGTATTTGTGACTTTATAATAAGATTTAGTCATTAGTCAATAGTAATAATAATAGCGATAGTTATTGTTTGGGAGGGAGTAACATAATATTCTATTTCGGGTGTGATATGCTCATGTTTATTCTTTTAGGTTAATATTTTGAGCATTTTATATCACTAATACTATTTTATTTACTAAGTGTTATTATCTACTACAGCTGTACTTCTCTACAGTCACCCCTCTATAGTGGCCTTTTTCCGTTATGTTGGAAATGACTGTAGAAGTATTTGGAGCTAGACTCTCCCTCTTCATACCATCGTGTCTGAGATCTTATTGCATAAGCTTTAGAGGTTTTTTCTTCCAAGGCTTTGAGTGAGATTAGCAATCGTATAAGTGTTAGGGTGATTTTGATTTTGTAGTTTGTTGATTCTGTTGGTCAAGTTTGTTATTCCCGCTTTTCTTTTCAGTGTGAGGAGTTTTCCCATGTCCCTGCATGTGGTTTGTATTTGTGTTTTAAAGTCATCCCATGTTGTTATGTCCAGGTGTGGGAGGGAATCACTGCATTGTGAATGGTTTTCTCATCATTGCTTAGGCCTGGTTTTCTGTTAGCAATCTCGCAGGAAGGAATCCATTCAAGTCTTGGACTAGAATATTTAAGCAAATTGTTAATTGCTGGGTTATGAATGCCTGACATCAATTTTTCGAGATACTGTTGTATAAATAACTCGTACCCGTGTCGAAAAGGGTATTTTTTTGTTTTTGATGGAGTTAATCACACTTTATTTATTGCATTAAAGAGAAGATAGCCGAGAAATATGAATTACTTATATATACGTTACGGAATGACGACATCACAATCAAATCTTGAGGAATTATGCAGTGACTGAGACGTACGAACGAACAGTAATCTTTATCTTATTAAAAGAATACAATGGTTTCTAGCTTTGTTAAACGGAACATAACTTTGCGCGGCTTTCAAAATGGTTTTACTTTTCTTTCCCACGATTATTTACAGTGGTAAAGGTTTAGAATTAACAGAAAAGACTAACTCTTACATGTTTATAAGAAGAAATCACCAAATCAAACGCATAATAATTTGTTATATAGAAAGGTATTTAAGCTATATAGCCCAAAGTATATAATCAGTTACGAAATTTGCAACTTTTGTATGAGCATGCTACTGGTGAAAAGTTTAAGTAATTAAATATGTCGACGTATATAAATGGGCTACTTACAAAAAACTATACGAATACCAATGAATGCACGCTGTAACTATAATAATGAATACTAATCAAAAGGAACGCTCCGTTTACTCTTTCAGTGCAATCTTTAATCTTAATTGGCGAATTTATTGGCAGTAGCCGGCTCGTGTACAATGACTGATCGATTAAATAATTTCTTGCTGTAAATCAATATTTTATTAATATTAACCATTTACCGAAGGACGGGGCTTTTCTTTAATACAAACTCCATACGGCCTAACATCTTCTCCGTCCTTGGAAATCCAATACTCGCCATATCCAGTTGTTGTCGCCTCAATCTTGACCAAATTTTTTGGATTTACTCGATTTTGGATCACTATCACGTATGTCCTCCCGGAAAACTCAAATTCCGTTGCATAACGTTCGGCTACGCTAACATCAGGTGTTGAATAGATACCCCGTCCAAAGGCGAAACGTTTTCCCTTGCTCAACAAATATCCTTCTTCGGAAATTGATCTCGCATTATACTTTGCAGTTCCATGATAAGACACCGGCCAAGCTGCAACACCAGTGCCAAGCCAAGCATCATTACCACTGTCATATCTTCCAGAGACCTTTAAAGCATAGCGTTGCCATCCACACGGTCTTCGATACAGAATATTTCCTCGTGTAAACCTCACCCCGATATCCTGAATGTGTGTAAAATCGTAATCGTATTCCGGGTCCCTAGCACTTGGGGCCAGATAACTGATCACACGTCCACCACGAATACGTAGAACCATATGTATCGTGCTCTCCTTTTGAATGTTATAACTTGCGAGCGTACGGTCATCTTTCAGTTGTTTACCTGCAAAAATGAGTCTCTGTTGATGTGGCGGATTGCCTTCTAGGTCCTCAATTAATTCTTTTAGTTTGCCTACGGTATCACTTGCTTGGCACTTCAAAGTTAGAGTCTTCCCAGTAAGGGTTTTAACGAAAAGCTGCAATCCTCGACTGATTTCTGGCAGATTTTGACTGGTGACTGCTGCGCTTCGTCTGGTGATGGAGCCGACATTACCACCGACAAGGTTAACTTGATGAAGCGAGCTCAAGTCGACTTGCTGACATATGCTTTGTCTGGCTGCATTTTTGGACGCTTTGTCATTGCTAGATTTCACTGATATTGACGGAACGCTTTGTCTGACGATGGAGTTGACACCACCACCGACATGGTTAACTTGATGAAACAAGTTCACGTTGACTTGCAAATCAGAAGTATCGTATTTGGCTTGTTCTCGAAATTCCTTCTCTGATACGAATTTATGGGTTCCCATCATGGCAGACAGTGCCGAATCAAGAAGATCAACGTTAAGCGAGGACATGGTTAATGAATTGACAATATGGGTAAGAATGTTGAATATTGAAAAAGGCCATTATCAAGGTTATTAAGTAGAGCTGTCTTTGTATTTTTACTATAATCGGCTCCTTGTGTTTGCAATACACTCTGACAACAAACGGCACACGAATACGATCTCTCTCTGATAATGACGTCTTCCTCCGTGATTTCCGATTCTGCGGTACATCGAATCCAAGTAACACAACTGTCACTAATTGCGCAGTAGGACAACGCTTGTTTAGGACGAAATTCTGGACAACTACACTACCTAACTTTATTAATTGCTCAAAAGTGTACATAATAATTAGGACTAAAATTTTTATATGTTATATTCTAACTTCTTCTAAATCTATATATAAGACTAATACTTTGTTGGCCAGTCCTTACTTGCAATACATGCTTCGACCCTTCTAGGTATACTTTTAATTAAATTTATTAAAACATTGTTAGAAATTTGGTTCCATTTCTCTTGTAATGCTGTCCCAAGTTTCCTTACATTTTTAGGCAAAATCGAACGGATAACAGACTTCCATTTTCGAATAGACCAATCCTTTCTTTCAATGCACCAGTTTAGGCGATTTTCTCTTTGCCGATCAGTAAGTGAAGGTTTGGATGTCGGAATGCGAGAAAAAAATTCAATTTCGTGCAAATTTCTCCTAATAGTTTTAGTAGAAACATAAAGTCCGGTTCTTTCATTATACAGTTTTTTGAGTTGTTCGGCTGATTTTTTGTTTTTTTTTGCTTATCAACCCATTTTAATACTTGCTTATGCTCAAAATTTAAAAGTTTTGGGCGGCCACTGCGCGGTTTGGTTGTGAGGCATTTTTTTTTTTCGAGATTATTCGTGTTACTGTTGTTCTAAGAAAGCCAAGCGTCTTATATATGCTCGTTTTTGTAGCGCCGCCACTTTTAAAAAGCCCAATCATTTGGCCACGTTCAGCTTCAGTTACAGTAAGTGGTCAGGTGCCTCGAAATTGTCATGTGCGACACATCAACATCCGTATTTGACACTTTACGGACTAAAGTTAGTGTGGATATTGAGTCATTTTTCCGTATTGACTGTCCGATTATCTTGGAGGTTTTTCCGGTTATTTTTCATTGCCTCGCGCGTGATCCAGATCTCGTGTTGTGTGAAACACTCTGGTTGCATTATTGTAAACAACGCCTGATTATCGTGTTTATTTTCCATTTTACATCTCCCTAATCGGACAGAAAACAAAACAAACGCGTGGACGCGTTTACGTCGCATAAAAAAACATACAGTTTTTTTGTTACACATTGTATTTAATTGTCCAATGTTTACAAAATTATTAATTAAACTTTTTGTTCCACTTCATACAAATACCTCACATACAACCATCTAGAGATAATGTTATAGAGTCTCAGATCAATTACTAACATTACAAAAAAAATATATGTGCCATCTTGTAAAACTTTACTTAACTTACATGATATCTTGAAAGATACAAGAAAACTATTGGATCTTAATGTAGCATGTAAGCAGTTTGTGGGAAAAATACAAGTGGTTCAGAAGTGATATTTTATGTTACATCATAATAAGACTTGCAAGTAGAAGCTTGTGAGCCAAAAAGAGGTCAAAGCTAATAATCACAGGAAAGTTAGAGATCAGTGAAAGTATAAACTTCATTACTTCAAGTTTGTATATGTATCACAAGCAGGATCTAAACCAAAGGACTAATTCCATTTCACAATTGCCACACTGGAGCAAACCAGGCCAATACAATAAATAGGCCTCTTTAATTCTGTTCTGTTCCAATTTGTGTCAACCCCTGATTGGCAGTTTCAAAATCACATGATTGGATCAAATTGGCATGAAAAATTTGCAACATCCATTTGTTCCCATCCCCAACCACACATTGCATTTAGGCCTCAATGGTGGCAGCAAACTTCTTTATCTAGTATAGACTGTTTAGAAAAATTTAGTACACCTACAATGGTGTCTCAGCCCAAGAAGAGGAAAACAGTGCCTGAAACTGGGAAAAGATGCATTCTCTCACCTAAACAACTGGCCCAACAGCATACAGATGACAAGGACATAACCCTGGTGAGATCTTTGTCACTTTTTACAACATGTTTGCATTTTACTTACCTGTGTTCTTGTTTTGCTTTACAGGAAAGGGTAATTGGAATGCATCAGCCCCTGCCAGGCAATACTCTATTAGACACTTTGGACAAATAGGAGCAGTTTTCTGACAGTAGTGCAAGTTTCAGTAATAGTAAGGCAACCAAGAACATTGCTGCATCTGTAAAGAAAGAAGGAAATACTGATATGTGGAACTAAACATGGAACAGAACTGTGAACGCGATGGGCTAACACCGAGGGTTCATGCTCGGCATCGCTTCATTATGGGCAATGTGTAGTTAACGATTATACAAATTACTCTCGTATAGCCAAGCAATTATA